TCAAGGTTGCAGACTTGGACGCTTGACTTGAAAAATGGTGGTAGCTTTAGCATAAATAGTGAAATATAAAGAATGGTGACCTTAGGGAGGGAGTTAATGAATGCTGTTTTGGACAGCTATGTGAGTTTGAGGTGCCTCTGAGGAACCAGGTAAAAATGTTCAGGATGTAGTTAGTGATGTGGGACTAATGCCCAGAGAAGGATGAAGGCTAGGTAGACAGGTCTGCGAGTCATCTACTGAAGCTTAACTGAAGCCTTGGGAACTGATGAGATCACCAAGAGAGGGGATCTGGAATTGCAGAAGGAGAAAAGAAAGGAGCGCAGGACAGAGCCCTTGGGATATACCCATTGTAAATGGACACGACAGAAATAACGATTCCACAAAGAATACTCAGAAGGAGTAACGAGGTGGTAGAATGAATGAAAGGAAAAGGAATAAGCATTTATATAGTGCCTACTATGTGCTAGGTCCTGTGCTAAGCCCTTTATAATTATTATTTTCTCACTTGATCCCCCCAGAAATACTTCAAGGTGACTGCTGTTATTATCCCCATTTCACAGTTGAGGAAACTGAGGCAAACAGAGGTTAAGTGACTTGTCCAGGGTCACACAGCTAGTAAGTGTCTGAAGCTTGATTTGAACCTCAGGTCTTCCTGACTCTGGGCCTCATTCTCTATCTACTGCACCACCTAGCTGCCTATGAGAACCAAGAGATAAGCAGTGTCACAAAAGGAGAGAGAGGAGAGTATTCAGGAGATAGAGGTGGTTAGCAATGCCAAAAACGGTGGAGAGGCCAAAGATGACTGATAAAAGGCCATTGGATTTAGTGATTAGCAGAGAGAGAAGGGTCATCTACCTCTATTTTCCAGCCTCTATTTTCTCAGTGAAGTAGGAGGTGAGGTGCTCTGCTAAGGAGAGAGGAAAGCTTTGCATAGCAGCCTTGAGGAGAGCAGAGATGATTTATAACAGAGATTTCAAACGCTATGCTAGTGACATTCTTGAGTGTGGCCCAGAAAATTAAAATGTTATTCGGAAATATTTAGCAAAATAAAATTTTAAAAATTAGGACATAGATAATGCAAATATGCCATTTTCTAAGTCATTACGGTAGCCTCTGGAATCCTTATGATGTATGGTTTAGTATCCTCCTTTGTGTGTGCGTTTGACACCACTGGTTTATTATATCCAGTGTGGAGAAAGACGGACAGAGAAAGAGACATGATTGTGTGACTTAACTCCAGCTAAGAGTCATTAGCACTCAAGTAGTCAGTCAGTCAGTCAACCAGCATTTAAATGTTTACTTCATGTCAGGCATTGTGCTAAATTCTGGGGATACAAAGGAATGCAAAAGTAGTAGTAGAGAAGATGGGTGGAAGGGGTTTCTAGGGTTGAGTCAGGGCTAGTGAGGTAGTTGATGAGAGATGGTGAATGTGGTAGCAGGGGTGCTAGCCTCGGAGTGACTGACCAATCCTTCATTACAGGGATTGGTAAAGGAAAGGATAGATACCCTGGTAAGAGTTGTGGAGGTGGGGAAAGGGGTGGAAATTAAAGTCATCATGAGTAAATAGAGATGTAAGAACAGCTGTGGAATGGAACGTAGTAGAGTCAATAAGGGAGGAAGACAAGAATTACAGTGCAGCAGGGAGAACCTTGTTGAAGTTAAAGTACATGCATTGTAGCAATCCAATCATCCTCATTCCTGATTTTCTCCCTCTGCAGTTTTGGTGAAAGATAGTGGGAGCAGCAGAATGAAAATGGCAGATTGTCAAGAGGTCAAGGGTATCAGGATTGGAAGAGACATGGTTATTGAAGTGATTGGCTCTAAGATCAAGTTTGATGGACTGGAGAAGCAGTGATAGACTGATGAAGTAGGGAGATGTCATGGGGTCAAACGCCAGGAGGAGCATGAATAACTAGTATGGGAGAAGTAAGGGAGAGGAAAGTGGAAGCATAGGAAATTGTGATCAGAGATCATTATCTAATTATGGTTGGTTTGAGGATGGGGATTATAGAGTTGAATATGCATTGAGAATTTAAAATATATAAATATGAAACATTATTATTCTCAACACTCTCTATTATCTATTTAGAGTAACTGCTTTTAGAAAGGCTCATTGGATTTAATTCTGTTATGGTAAAAAAGGGTTAAAAATAATCCTTTGAATCCTTCCTCCCTTTCTTCCTTCCTTTCTCCCTTTCTACCTCCCTCCCTCTCTCCTTCCTTCCTTCCTTCTCTTACTTTTTTTTTGTTCCAGATAGGTAGGAGACAGAGAAAATAGATTTTTGTTCATTAAAAAAATAATCCTTTGTTTTAATCCAAAATGTATTTTTCTGCCTTCTTTTTTGAGGATGCCAGCAAGGATCCCAAAAGGGTTCCTTAGGAATCATTTAGTCTTGCTCATTCTATTTCCTAAAGTCGAGGGAGGCTCAGTTACTTGTCTGAGGTCACACAGAGAGTAAGTGGCAAAGCCAGGATTTTGAATGCAGGTGGAGTCTTGGAGTCTTTGGTTAATTGATTCCTACCATCTCTGTCATTGGCATCGGAATGACCAAGAGAAGGTAACCTGGGGAGAGGGTAGGGGACAGAAATCAACTTCTTTACTAGGAAATATTTTTAGAAGTACCTGATGCCCCAGAGAAAAAAGAATTCAAAGGAATTAGATTTCCCATCTAAGCCAACACCATTATTTTTCAGAGGAAGAAACTGAGACTGAGAATGCAGAGGAGATTCGTCCAAGGTCAGATAGGTAGAAAGTAGTTGAGTGTGATTCAAACCCAGATCCTTTGATTCGAGACCCTGTGCGCAATATCCACAATGCAAGAGGTTTAAGTCACTAGGAGTGGGCAATACACTTATAATTATTTCCCCCTCATAGTGGGAAATTATGTGATGGGCCATCACCAAAGGGTGATGGGTCAACCTTTTTGACTAATGGCATCTATTTTGGAGGCTCTCTTTGACTGTGGAAAAATTTTTCTCTGCGTGACACTAACTGGCCCCTATGGGAATAGAAACTCCAATCACGTCTTCATCATTCATTCATTCATTCTTTCATTCACTAGACATCTGTTAAGATCTTTTCATATTAATAGTACTGTGCTGGAGAGTGGAGGAGATATGAAGATCCTTGAGGTGTGGTATTTGCCTTCATGGAGCTTCCAATCTAATAAACATCATGGATGAATGGTGTATAAATTTTTTTCCAGTGGAGAAACCAACATCCATTTGAAATCCAAATCTCTATATGAAGTAGTCTGCCAACTGTTATCTGCCGTATGGTTTGGGACAGGCAGTGAAGCCTAATAGCAGGAGCACTGAATTTGGAGTCAGAGGATGTGAGTTAGAATGCTGTTTCCACTTCTTATTATCTGTGTGGTGGATGTATCACTTGGACAACTCAGTTCTCCTTCCTGGGCCTCAGTTTTAAGCCCTTTCCAGTTCTAAGTCTGTGATCCTATGATAAATGTTTGTGTGAAGAGGCCCTTCAAATGTCATTGGTTACCTAGGCCTAAATTATTTCTCTCTTGGAATTTAGGATTTTTTCAAATTCAGCCTTTTCAGATAATAAATACATTGAAAGTGGTGATTCAGTATAGGAGGGGCCCAAGAAGTAAGTTAATTATATGAATCTATGACTCCCAAGTAGTATTTCATGGATGATATTGGAGCTTTGCATATTTTAGTTCCCAGTGAAATTCTATGTTCTGTAAGTAGACAGTGACATGAATGTATCAAATGCTGCACCTGAAGTGCCACGCCCAGGATGAGGGGCAGGTAAAGGAAAGTTTCAGTTTGGGCTTTGCTGTTCTCTGGCATGACCTAGATCCTGGGCTCTCAGGAGATAATGATTTGGTGATCTGCTTTGTCCTGGAGTCCATTTGGGTGGGGAGTGATTCTTTTGTTAATTGTTATTTACCCAAGGTACTTCCAAGCCAGCACACTTAATTCTGGAATGGAGGTTTACCTTGATTCAGAGGAGTAAGCTCTTCCTATTCCTATTTTCTCTGTATTTCAGAGTTTGAGTGGGGAGGCAGGAGGGAGGGAAGAGGCCAAAGGGGAGAGAGCAGCTTGTGAACCGTTTCAGAATCCCTGTCCAAAGAGCAGCCCACAATCCCTTGCTTTCTGTGCTTCTTGTTAGACACATGCAGATTCCAAGTGGAGCAGAAGTCACTCATATCCTCTAGAGGTTTGTTGTCCAAACCAGTACTGGAGGAAGAGTAGATGCTCACTGCTGTCCTTAAATGATACTATCAGACTTAATACATATAGTGAGGTTTCCCCTGATCATTCTTGACTCTCCGGCAAAGTTTTACAAGTCTTAGGATCTTCATTTAAGAGTGTGTGAGGATATGTGTGTGCTCAAATCTGGTTTCTGTGATTATTGCTCAAGAGCATGAGTATGGATAGCTTCATTCTACCAAACATACCTTAGTTCAGGCATGGTCCTTTAAAAAGAGGAGGGTTTTTAGGTATTTTCTCCATCAGAAGTCTTATTCCTGACTCATAATGTGTCATAGTTCCTTCTTTGTGTAACCTAAAATGCACAAAATAGCATTGGTTCAGTACCTAACACTTGTCTATCCCCAGAGAGGAAAATCTGGCTCTTTTCCTTAGAGTATTTAGAAAAGGGAAAAAAAAAAAAGCTCGAGATAGCTCCTCCTAGGGGGAAAGAGGCCACACTTCTGAATTAGTTCTAGCTAGTGATGTCCTGGTCAGTGTTTAACATCTAGCTAGGGAGGGAGATAGAAGAGGAGAAATATAAACAAGATACATCTGTAAGTTTAATCTGCGTTACATAATAAAAAAAAATAATACTAAGTCAAGCCCTGATTTGTAGTATTTGCTGATTTCTGAGCACCAAAAGTTTAACAGTCTGTGAGAGCTGGTACAAGCCGACTTTAGCACAGTCCTGGTTCTAACCCCTGTGTCTGTGTGGGTTAGGTTGTCATCGTTGAGACTGGCTCAGTCTTTCTCACCATTTGCTTTCTCTCTCTCTGCAGGAAGGATCAGAATGTTCTCTCACCAGTTAACTGCTGGAACCTCCTCTTGAACCAAGTGAAACGAGAGAGCAGGGATCACACCACCCTGAGCGACATATACCTGAATAACATCATCCCACGCTTTGTCCAAGTCAGTGAAGATTCTGGAAGGCTCTTTAAAAAGGTAATGAGATGGGGCCTTACGTACAGATTCTGGAAGGGTGTTAACACACCATGCAAGTAAATGCAAAACCAAAGCCAAACCAATCCTTGCTAGCCTCCTAAGCATATTTGCAGTCATCTCTTCTTCTAGCAAGTCCAAATATAATGAAATACATGGAATCCCCATTCTTTTCTCTTTGCCAGGGATGAATCAGTAGCAGCCATGGCATGTGGCCATCTGCAAGGTTGTCACATAAAGGACACGCCAACATAGTTTGCTAGTGGGTGGGCTTGTAGCACGAGTCATCATTTACATCATCATGTATTGATTGCTAGTTCTGTTTTGGTGATTTGCAGTAGAACATTACTTTATTTGGGAAACTGTTCGGACTTGAGGACCTTGAGTATGATTTCATGTTCCCTTATTCTAATTCACTTTCCAAGCCTACATACTTCTTGGTTCAGCTCTTTCAGAGACTTGATCCAGGAGTTGTTTGGCTATGATGGGCTTGGGAACTTGATTATCTATTAATATTACAACATTTCTTTTCCTTCTGGGTTTAGCATGATTTATGAACCTCACTCGGTGATCTTTATAACTCCCTAATAAATGTGGACCAGTTTAATGGGAGATTTTATCCAGTATCACCTTATAAATTAGAGATGGACTTTTGGGGACTGGAGGATATCAGAGAGCTAGGAATACCTTAGAAATCATTTTCCATTTTCCTCATTTTACTTATGAAGAAGTTGGGGCCAAAGTGACTTGCTGAAGTTCTGGGTAAAGCCAAGGTTTGAAACAGTAACTTCTGGCTCTAAATCTAAAGGTTGGTCTTAGCATTACACCATGCTTTCTGTAGAACAAGACACTGATGTCTAAACTCTGGTACCTTGAATTCTGTGTGGAATCATTTTTTTCTAAAAGAAAGCACGTCAACTTTCCCCAGTTGAAAGCTGTTTGTATGTGGTGGCAAATACCCTTCACCCTTGTACGTGACATACTGTCATCCTTAGGAGGATTTTCAGAAGGATGGTCTTCCTAGGAATCACTGGAGGAGGGAGAATCTATAGGTTTCCACTTGACAAAACTCTGTCACAGTTTGGGAAAAAAAAAAAAAACAACTCCATTAAATATACTTGTAATGTGGATATATAGCCAGAGCTTTCAGTCATTTGTTGTTTCTATATTTTTAAGGTGAAATTTTCTGACCTTCTTCCTGGTTTGGTCTTGGTTCAGGACCTGGTTTTCCTCTTCTCACCATCCTGAAGAAAACATTGTTTTGAATCTTTTTTTTTCTCTATATTTCTTTCCTTATGTCTTCAGATCCTCTAGAAAAAGTGTTAACCTTACCTGCAGAACCAGATTAAAATGTAATTAACAAAACAAATACAATTACAGTAGAACATAGATAGTGTCAATATGACGCCCTCTTTCTCTTCGGGTTTGACACCACCACTGCTCTAAAGCTTAGTAAACTGTGATCCTTGAGACAGCAAATGGAAGGAGAAAATGAGTGGGAGCCATGGAAATAATGGTCATTTGGGAAATGTGCTGTTACACAGTTAGTCCACTGGATTTCTTTTCAGCCATGGAAATGTGGTATCTATCACACAACCCATAGATTCTTGGCTTCTTAGAGGCAGGGCATGGGGGACAGGATCCTCCAGCTGAGAAAAGGGAGATGCATTGACAATTGGACGTGGACCTCTTTGATCTGTATCAGCCTTCTGACTGGATTGGGTAGGTAGTTGGGTTCCATTTCAGAAGCAGGTGTGCCAGGGATCTTTCCCTTTGATCTGTTCTTAATGGTGCTGAGAAGCAATTGCAGGCTACATCAGAGGATGCTCTTCCACCCCTTTCCACATCTGCCCCAGCTCTGTTGCCATTGTTTTTCATTATTTCCCTCTACATAGTGACTTGAATGTAAGTCACATTCAAGTCTAGTCAAGTGAAATCTTGACAGTAATTGGTGCTGCTTCAACGAAACCTTCAGATATGCTTGAGGTCTCTTGGGGAGGGGAGTCCCAGCCTCTGTCCTGTCTGTGATTCTGGGGAAAGCCCATTAGGAGAGCTATCCTGTCTTGTGTGTTCATCATCTTCCCTCAACCAGAGAAATTGCCAGAGAGGTCTGGGTTAAAAGAAAGCCCTGTACACCCCTCAGTGCTGCTACCTGGTGTTTTAGGATCTTTTTGAGGCAGGTGAGCCCTGGGGGCCAATACAACAAGCATGGATGCTCCATCGACATATTGCCATCAGCCTGCTGGCATGGGAGCTGCTGCAGACACAGAGGTCTATGGTTCTCTGACAGCACAATCCACTCCAGCATTGACATTCTTAGCCATGGACTCTGGTTTGACTTCCCTGAGCTACGTATGCATTTCCATTCCTGGGAGTATAAAGGAGAGGTCCCTGTTCCTCACAGGACCCATTTGTGACCTTTTCAGACTTTTTTCAGCAGTTAAATTGTAGTTGATTAGAGATTTATGTGAGATTGCTGACTAGCAGCCAAGCTCCATTCTCCCTGATCCGTTCTAAGGAATAGTCATTTCTTTCCTCTCCCCAGTGGGGGTCCAGTGTGGGCAGGGAGCCCCTAGGGAAAAGCTGACCTGGGAAGTCATGGGAACAGATCAGATCTACCTAAGCTAGAGGCGAATGACTTTGCTTTTCATTAACATGCAAGGAAACCATTTCCTTCTCAGTACCCTCCAGTGTAAATGAACCTCTAGGTCATTTTGTTAATGGTGAAATGTGGTATGTAGGCAAGTATGAAGTGCCACATGCCCATTTCAGAAGCCACTCACATACCTGTATCAAGACCCTGAGAAGGATGGGAACCCCTCTGGCTGGAATTTCATAACCAGACTTAACAGGCTCAGCTGGCTGCCCCTACCAGGTATTTGTCAAGCTTCCTACTGGGTTCTACCAGGTCAGCATCCTTTTCCAGAAAGTCTCCCTTTTGAGTAGTCGATCCCTTAGCCACTAACCAGTAGTGTGAACGTGAGTAGGTGATTTCTCATCTCTGGGCCTCCATTTCCTCATCTGTGAAATGACAGAGTCAAATCTAATTATGAGTTCTTAGCCTGCGGATCCATGAACTTGTTCTTCTTAATAAAATTGGTTTCCTTTCCAAGCCTCTGTATTTTATTTTATGCATTTAAAGATACTTTTTCTGTGAATGGGTTTGAAGCCTCACCAGACTGCCAAAGGGGTCTGTGACACAGAGAGGTGAAGAACCCTTGAATTCAATAATTTCTATGGGCTGTTCTAGATCCAGCATGCTTTGATTCTATAAGAAGAGGAGCAGCTTGCATTCAAAGCTCCTGTCTCTTTGTTGCCAGACCCTCTAATGCATGGTCAATTGTGATAGCAGAGATAAAAGCAAATGAGAGGAGAGAATGAGCTGGGCCAAGGGAGAAAATAGTTCTTTTGTCAGACATTTTAGATAGAAATGTGGTTTCATAGGCTCTCACAGTTTGAAAGGACCTTGGATACCTCCTGCTCCAACTGGTCCTTGCATAGAAAACCCTTCTACAGCATCCTCAGCAGTGCACATCCCACCACTGCTTGGAGACATTTAGTGGTGGGGAGTGAGGAGCACAGCTCAGGCTCCTTTTGGATAGCTCTACCTGGGAGATCCCAGGGGAGAATGCTGTTCCTGAGGTCATGGCTTTTTGTATCAGAGCCCATTTTTGCAGGCTGGCGTGTTTATTTCATGAGGTGTCTCAGAACCCAGAGGTTGGAATTGGATCCACGTGTGGGAGTGGAAGAATCTGATTCCTTGCTTTTCAAGTGGATTTGGATGCAGCAACACAAGGGCCAATCCAGACTTCTGTCCCCTAGTAGAAATGGCCCATGGAGACTTCTATGCTGCTAATGGACTTGAATCCACTGGCTAGTTTTATAAACTTAAAAAGATTATGATTTGGGAAATCTATTTCCAAATCTACTTGAACCAGCTCAGTCTTTTTCCAACTGTTTTCCAACAGGAAAATGTTTATATGAATGATATTTCTGGAATTCATAAACTAGAGCACACTAAGATTTTTTTTCATATCTTTGAAAGTAATTCCAGGTATTTCACATAGTTGTAGAATACCCTGCCCTGCATTTTTTTTTTTAGTTGCAGACCTTTGAAGCAAAGGTAAACATAATTCAATTCAGTAAACATTTATTGAGCACCAACTAGATAGTGAGGGAGTTATAGAAATGAATAAGACATACTGTCTACCCTTCAGAAGCTAACACATATAAAATGGGCTTAGCACAAATAAATATATTTCAAAGAAGAGCATGAAAATGAATTCTGGATTCTTCCTTTGGCAGGAGAAATCTGGAAAGGCTTAATGGTAGTGGCATTTAAGCAGACTCCAGAAGAATGGGTGGGATTTCAGCTGGCAATGGTGCCACAGAAGGCCATTCTAAGCACCAAGAATGGTATAAACAAACAAAGCTCAGAAGCAGGAAAGTAGAGAACATGTTTGTGAAAGACAAAGAAGTCTGGTTTTCCTGGAAGATAGGATCTATAGAATCATCAATTTAGAGTAGGAAGGGACCTTTGAGGCCATCTAGGCCCATCTGTTCATTTTGCAGATGAGGAAACTGAGTCTGAGGGGGAGGGTAAGTCACTTGACTAAGGTCACATAGCTATTATGGCAGGATTTGAACTCGAGTATTCTGACTCCAAGCCACCTAGTTGCTATGAAAAGGGAGTAATGCCAGATAGTGCTGAAAGGGTAAGTGGCAACAAAATTGTGGAAAGGCTTAAATGCCAAACTGCTTTGGACTTGATTTGGTAGGCAGTGATGAGGGTATTTGAGTAGCCCTTGAGGGTATTTGAGCCAGGGAGTGATGTGACTAGAGCTATGTATTAGGAAGATTAATCTGGCAGTGATATATAGAATTGTTTGGGGGAGGGAGGAGGGGGAAGGGATGTGGGGAGTAGGAAGAATTGAAATGCAAGTATTTGAGATAGTAGAATATTCCAGGCAAAAAGTAATGAGGACCATATCTAGGGTTTAAGA